ACTGCTTTTGGTAAGAAGTATTTTATATCAACTCACTTTTGTCTTTTCTTTACAAGGTAAATAAACCATAATTCAATTGGGTGTCTTCATTTATCCAAGTTTTAATATAAGAGCCAGACCACTGCTACTCTGAGACAGGTTTTATTACCAGGATGTTCCAAGAACCAAAGCCAAGACAGGGTAAAGATCACTGATGATGGTTATCGATACAGCGTGGCAAAGCAAGTGAATAGGGTATTTTGCAAATTGAATTCCAGCCTTCCTTTCAGTCTAGTACAGTTGTATAGGCTTCTGTCCTGTAATGAAATTACCTCCTGCACACTGAGCTTACATAGTCGGGTTGAAAAAAGACACAAGTCTATAAAGTTCAACCTATAGGCCTCATTCACATGAGAAAAGACCGGCCTGCATAACTCCTGGGAAGGGCAGGTGCTGCGTGTGACTAGTACACAGCCCCCGTCCTTCTCTATGGGAGTACGCGGCCATAGGCCACCTTACACTCGCCCCCCAAGTGCAGGTCCGTGCGGGTGTCCCGGCTCGGACGCAGGCAGGATCCATCCTGTCAGCGTACGAGTTTGGACACCGGCTTGGACTTGCAGGGCGGGTGAGCATAGGGTGGCGTATGGCCGCGTACTCCCATAGAGAAGGACAAGGGCTGCATACTATTCTTTTTTTAATTCAATACTTTTTTTATTTTAATAGTACAATACAAAAAACAAACTTATACATCCACAATCTCATATTACAACATAAAAACAGCAATACAAAACAAATGACAATACATAAAACCCACCAAAAAAAACAAAACTCTTTATACATTTTTCCTCTCAACATAACATATTTCTTAAACTACTCCTCAAAATACCGATAATAAATAGGAAAGATACTATACCCAGGGTCCTTTACTATATTCAATCCACTTATCCCACATTTTACCATATTTATCCATAGTACCTCCTATGTATGAACATAATTCCCTCAAATCTAACCACTTTATCTAGTTCTTTCTTCCACTCCTACTGTGGGGAGGTGCTGCTGAAATCCACCTAAGGGCTATACTACGCTGAGCTACAAATAGAGCCCTCGTTGCCACCTTTGTGTAATATTCCACCTTTTATGGGTCCAAAAATACCCAGGATACATAGCAAGGGATTATTAGAAATATGGACTCCAAATGCTATATTTATTATGTCCACTATTTGCTGGCAATATCGTTTCAGCTTCGGGCATCGCCACAGCAGATGTATTAACGAACCAGGTTCAACCCCACACTCTTCACACGCAGCACCTGTCTTTCCTGGGAACTGCCCGATACAGCCGTGCACGCAGCACGGATCTGTACGCGCCGGCCTTGTCTTGTGTGAATGAGGCCATAGAGATAAGGCAGGGGTGCCCATTAGGTAGATTGTGATCTACCAGTAGCTCTCAAAGCGGATGCTGGTAGATCACAAAGGGTGTGAATGGCGGCCCTTTTATTCCATTTTGGTATATTTATTTAGCTGTGCACACATGATTACCTATTAGCCCGAGTCTGCTGAGCCAAGCTCCCTGACACCTTTCTGGTGGTTGAAGTGCTATGTATTACATCAAAGAATATTCGTTTACACAGCCTGTTGCACTGCACTGTTTGCAAAATACAGCAAGGTGAGTGAGGAGAGACAGCCAGGAGAGAGAGCGATGGAGGTTTTTTTCCCCTTGGTAGATCTCATGTAGCTCATCATTTGAAAGGTAGATCTCAACACAAAAAATTGTGGGCACCCCTGAGATAAGGTGTATGACTTTTATCACATAGCATTTCATTAAATAGTAACGGCTGAAGACTTGACGGCTACAAAGCCCTCCAAAACTACCAAAGGGAAAATAACTGGGTGAAGACTATATTCGGCAATTGTGTTTAAGCACTTTGTAATCTCTGTTACATTACATAAAAATCATACATATCTGGGATAGGAAAAAAAAGTAATCATACAAGTAACACATACAGACTGAAGTTGACATTTAAAGGAGAACGATGGGGTCAGGGCTTTTCCCCATAGTTCTCCTTAGGGTAATGGGAGGACACAAACTAGCGTCCTCCCGTCACCCTAAGCTCAGTATATAGAGAGCTACAGCTCGCGGTATACTGAGACGCCGGAACGGATCATGACATCGATGTCGAGATCCGCCCAGCTGTGTGAGTGACAGCTGGCTCTGCCTATCTAGAGGCAGAGCCAGCTGTACCCTCCCCCGTCCGTTCCGCCAGTCAGTGCTGGTGGAGCGGGGAATCCCTCCCCTGTCACGACAGAGAGCCGTGACAGGATCGAGAAGTGAGTGAACGTCGGCATATGTTCGCTCACCTCCCGATCTACTGAGCAGTCGTGTGACAGTCTCATTGTCACAGGTCGGCTAGAACTATGAGGTGAGTGAAAAGCATTCACCTCATAGCTCTCCTTTAAGTTAGATGGAACCATGTGGAGCAAAATGTTAACAAGTCGGACAAGTTACTAATAATAGTGCAAGGAACATATATTTGCAAAGAGTCTGTAAAGGATGATTTTTTTTTTTTTTTTCCCCCCTTAAAAATGTAGATACATAAAGCTCGTCTGTGTCCATTTCTGCTCATGATTCCGATTCCATTCTGCGGCCATACAGGGGTGAAATCTTGTGTCATAGAAAGTTGTTTTTCACTACAGGAACAAGGTCAGGGAGGGGGGGAAAAAAATAAAATAATGCTGGTATATAGGTGATGATAAACATTTGACAAGACATACACTTTAAGGATCGGTACTATTTATTGCAGAAACAGCTTTTCCTCAGCAAACATAAATTAAGAAAATAAATACAATAAAATTATCTTCAGTATAACAGAAGATTGGCTCACCATCTGTATACGTATGTCCCTTCTCATGATTACAGTCCCAGCCTGTTCTCAGGCTTCAGACACTGAATCCTGAGATCCTGGGATTTCCCACGATTATCGTAAGGTGTGTGGATACCCTTACAGTTGAGCACGCACACGCAGACCGGAAGAGCATGTGACGTACAGTATATACTGTGAAAAGGTCCCAAAGAGGGTTGTCTATATGGTCTTTTAACCCTTTGCACAGATAGAAAAAAAAAAAGGAGTCGGCTCATACATTCTGACCTCCACGTCAAATACCCTGGGCATGAAAGGGTACTGCTTAGGTACTCCATACATAAGGAATGGTCTTCCATAACGAGCCCCAACAAAACCTAAAGTTGCATAGAAAGCCTAAAAGAGTACTAGCATTAAGGTGCCCATACACTGTACAATTCTCATACGAGAATCGCGGGAAATCCCGCGATCGTACGAGAATCGTACAGTGTATGGAAGGTGTGCGACCGTTTCTACTGTACAGTCGCACGTCTTCCGTCGAACAAGCAGGCTTGAAAACCCGCCGAGAATCGTACGATTCTCGGGCGGGTTAGTGGCCTGCTTGTTCGACAACTGCCGAACAGGCCACTAACCCAGTGATTTGGCGCCCTGGGCAGCCGTCCGTGCCCGCCCAATGTAAAGGAGCCATTGGCATCGCTCCTAATCTGGCTTACCACCTTAAGACCTGTCGGGCTGGGCTTGTCTCTAGCAGCGGAAAAATGAGCAACAGCACACATTTTATAGCTCAGAGATCCCACCTCCCCTGGGTAAGATTACATTATTTTAATAAAATCAACTTTTCTGGGAAATAGCTAAAAAGGTTAATAAAGGGATTACCAAAGTGATCATGTCAGCAGACTGATCAGGGAGGAAGATGTAGCTGTCTCTGCAGGGAGCCTATTGTATGGGGGAAGCAGTCCAGACTTTGTGGTGCCAGCAGGACATGGCACACAAAATGTCCACCCGAGAGTTCCATAGAGGAATCCAGATGTTAGGTCCGGGACCTTGTACAGTACTAGTCCAACTGCCACTTTAAAACCTTAATCCAGGCCAGGGTCCGTAGTTGGTGGGGAGAAGGCTGGCCTTCAGTCCCCTCCAAGTGCCAATGCAGACTGTCACCAGCTATAGAACACTACAAATCCCAGAAATACATTATAAAGCAATGCAGAACGGCACCGGCTATAGAGGTCTACAAATCCCAGCAATACATTAAGCAGCAATGCAGATTGGCACCAGCTAAAGAGGACTACAGATACCAGCAATAAAAATTAGAGCAATGATTTAAAAATGTGCAAAATGCAACATGGCTTTTCTTTTTAACTTTCGTCAGCTGTACACAGTTGGGTCAGGGCGGGTGTAGTTCTCCCCCTCCTACTATCAATCCGCATGCTGCAATTGCATGCAGACGCCTGTACATCCCTACATGACGTATTACAGATATGTACAGGCGGCTGCACCTAATTACAGGCTGCAGGTGTCCCTCCCGGGAGCAGGTCTCTGTACAGATGTGCACACCCGTGTGAACGGGGCCTAAATGAGAGAGGTGACAGGTTCGCTTTACAGGTTGGAGGTGACAGGTTCGCTTTACAGAGACATTGGGGGTCTATTAAGACTCCTGATGTCTCTCATGCCTTGAAAGGCAGGCCATAAAGCACAAGATTGTCTGTTTACCTGCGTTCTGTCGAGGACGCTGACCACATCTGATTTGACAACCTCAGCATCTGCGCATGCTCAGAGGATTAACGAGCAAACAGGCGCTTGATGCTGGAGGACGTCAAATCAGACGGGGGTCGGCGTACTCGATAGAAAACACGGCACTTCAGCCCGGTTTGCAGCAACTCTGAAGCAGGAAATGGCGAGAGCAGCGCTTTCTGCTTCTGCGATCATTGAGCAGATCGGGGAACGAGGGTTCCCCCGGTCAGCTCACGCTCCCCATTGTGAAACTATTCACAGCGGATCCAGGTCTTCAGGAACCGGTTGTGACGTCACCGCCGATCACCGGTAGTGTTGTTGTGACGTGCGCGCCGCCGCGTGCAGTGAAGTAGCAGCGGTGGCGCGCCTGCTCGGATTGGGAGAGTGCAGCATGGCTGTGGCGGAGCAGAAAGCGGTGACTCTCAGGCTGGCAGTGGTGAGCGCCTCTGCCGGGAAGAACATGGAGGACGTGAAGCTGGAATTCCCCGCGCTGCCTCAGTGCAAGGACGACCAAGAGGTGAGGAGGCGGCTGCGGAGAGGGGGGTTGCACTAGCCGGCCGGTGTCACATGATCTTACCTCCAGCTGTTTTAGGGGGGCCGGCGTAGTTCCACAATAAGAGAGGTCTGTCACCATAGCAACCACGGATTTCCTTATGTAGGCCTGAGCTCAGAGTGAGGGCTGTCACTCATGGCAACCAGAGCTTTCCTTATGTGGGCTTGAGTGCAGAGTGGGGGCTATCACTCATAGCAACCAGAGCTTTCTTTATGTGGGCCTGAGTGCAGAGTGGAGGCTGTCTCTCATAGCAACCAGAACTTTCCTTATGTGTGCTTGAGTGCACTGTGTGTGCTGTCATTAATAGCAACCAGAGCTTTCCTTATTTAGGCCTGAGTGGGGACTGTCACCTGTAGCAACCAGAGCTTTCCTTATTTAGGCCTGAGTGGGGACTGTCACCTGTAGCAACCAGCGCTTTCCTTATGTGGGCCTGAGTGCCGAGTGGGGGCTGTCATCCACAGCAACCTGGCCTTCCCTTATGTGGGCCTGAGCAGGGACTTGTCAGCCATAGCAACCAGAATCTTTTTTTACATTCATAATAGTAATATTTCTGAGGAAGAGCAACCTTGGCACTCTAGCTGTTGTGGAACTACAAGTCCCATGAGGCATTGCAGGACGCTGGTGGCCACGGCAGTGACTCCTACAGCCAGAATCATGGTGGGATCTGTAGTTTCATCACAGCTGTAGTGTTGATGTTTGCCTACCCCTGCTCTAATCTGATGTGCGCCCAATATCTGTATAGGTGAAGGCCGCCTCTGATGCCGCTGCATGTGTAACAGAGCAATGACCATGTTAGCAGCAATGCTACACGGACCTGGTGTATGACGGCGACTCCGATGTCATACATGGTTGTCATTGGGTTTTGTTCCTGCAAGGCAGTGCGGTCACATGACAGTCAAGGAAAATAACTTTACACATGTATCTAAAAAAAAAACCCAAAAAACTCCTGTTGCCCCCGGGCCCTCCCTTGCCCCCGGGCCCTCCCTTGCCCCCGGGCCCTCCCTGTCCTATGACCTGTGATTCTGCTTCTTGTCATCTAAATGCATATTGTCTTCTCTGTGACTTCCTCTTACGTCAGTACAATTGTTATTGCATGTGTCAGGGCTCGTTCACGCCATCTGCGTTCAGGGAGTGCGCTGGCCGTTTTTTCCAGGACAGCCCAACCGCAAGACAAGTCAACTTTCCTTGTCATGTGTGGTGACGGTTCATATCACCGCGCTCCATTGCTATGCACTTAAAATACAGTGAGGGGAATTTATCAAAACTGGAGCAGACAAAATCTGGAGCAGCTGTGCCTGGCAACCAATCAGCGTCTCTCTTTCATTTTTGAATCTTAACTGAACAAACTGAAGAGAGAAGCTGATTGGTTGCCAGGGTTACTATAGCCCCCCCCTCTATGCTGTACTTTAAGCGCACTGCAGTGAGGCGCGATTCAACCGTGGCGAGCCCAGAGTAGTGACTGAAATGTCAATTGTGACATTTCAATAAAGTTCTAACAAATAAAAAACTGTGTGCGGCTCGTGTGGTTGCGTGCAGCTGCTGGTTTGAACAAGCCTATGAAAATGACAGCTGGGGCCTAAATTTTGATATTTTTCTCTAGTTGTGGAGCGGACTCCTAAAAATGAATCCTGCTGGCTCCTGGCTTGGACAGACCGGGGTCATAAATTCCCTATTTATTTGCCCGGCTCTGTGTTACAGTATATTGTACCACAACACTGCTCCTTGTCACATCTGGACAATGGGCATTAATATGGCGGAGGTACAGTATAACGGCCTTCTCTCTTCTGGGAAGATTTTAGGGTGTCTCTATAAAAATGTATGCCCATTCAGCTTAAAAGTTAACCCTTGCAGTGAGGCTTGTCCCAACCCCTCCACATTGCAAAGGTTAAAGGGTTATTAAACCCTTGCATGTTTTTGCATATATCTATCTATGTCTAGCAAGCAGTAGATATATGCAAAATTATTATTTTTTAAAAACTTTTTTCAAAGGGTTAATACTTACCTGTGTCTTCGCCGCGCGCTCCCGTCCGAACATCTGAATATTCTCGGCGGCCACAAAGGATCTTGGGGCGGGCCCATGCGCAGTTCAGATGTTCGGCCGGGAGACGAGGAGAGACGCAAGGTAAGTCTATGGAGCAGCGTGTGCCTGCACAGACTCTGTGGGACATGAGGGGAGGACAGAGGAGTCGGCGCTGGATCGGAGACCCATACCAGCGCTGGAGGGACAGCTGAAAACTACTGGAAAGAAGATGATGATCAGGATAAGAGGCATTATTTAAGGTAAGTCCTTACATTAGCACTGTGGGGGAGGGGGGGTTTGGCCTTAATGTCACTAAGTGACATCTCCAACTTGTGACGTCACATCTGTTGTAGATTTCGACGAGGTGGCGCTATTGTGCGTCCACCAGCTGTCACAGCTTTTGCAATCCTCGTTGACTACACGTGCCGTAGGTGCGCCTGTGCGGCCTCAAAATTGCAATCGAGTTGTCCAACTCCCGTCAGTGCCTGGGGCATCCGGTGCCAGCTTAGGCGCAGTGCCGCAGATTGTACAGCGTGATACTTCTCTTGGGTGGCTGCGTATGCTCGCTGACGGTTGTTGGAGGTCACGATGAGTTGGAGAATTCGATAGAACACCGGCACCAGCACTGGAGGGACTCCTGAAATCTACTGGAAAGAAGATGATCAGATCAAGAGGCGTCATTTCAGGTAAGTCCTTACACCAGGATTGGGGGGAACATTTTTGGCTTTGATGTCACTAAGTGTAATAAGAATGTTTAGCAAAGTTGTTTGTATTTTCCTGTCTTATCGCAGCCGCCATTATTAACATCATCACAGCTTGTCTTCATTGTGCTGTAACCTCGTGTTAATTTTTCATGCTGAGCCGTCTCCTAATATTTTGTATACCTCTTCCTCAGGACTGGAGTTACCCGATGAGACGGGAGATGCAGGTATATTTTATTTCATATAAATGCGACATTATCATCTTTAGTTCTCAGTTCCCGGGTAAAGATAATGTCCCCATAGCTTTCTTTCATATTGCTGTTTATACAGTAAATGCAGCATGCTTTAAAGAGGAACTCCCGGAATATAAAAAAATAACCCTTGCAGTGGTGCTACCCCTGCACTGCAAGGGTTAAGTGTTAGCTTTTGTCTAGGGGGCTGACGCACACACACACGATCCGTGGTCTTGCCAGGCTGCAAGACCAGTCCCTGCAGCCTCTGCTCCCCGCTGGGCTGACATCATCACGTCTAATGCCCTCCATCCACCTGCATTAGACGTGAGGATGCCAAGAGACATACTATAGCCGAAGTGGAGGAGGGGAGAGGTGAGCACTGACTGCTGCAGGACCGAGGATCAGGTGAATGTTTTCTGTATTCCGGCCCTTAGACCAAAATGAGCAGTTAGCCCTTGCGGTGCCGGGGTAGCCCCACTGTAAGGGTTAATTTTTTTTACTTAACTGGAGTTTCTTAAAATTTTCATTTCCATTCTATATTTTTGTTTTTTTCTTTTCAGGAAATTCTACCAGGCTTGTTTTTGGGCCCGTATTCTGCAGCAATGAAAAGCAAGGTGCGTGTATAAAGTAATTTCCCTAAAATATTAACCCTTAAAATCCTACCCTCGTCCCGGAACTGCGCATTAAATAGAACCTGTCAGCCTTTTAGGGCCAGTTCACACCAGCCTGTCTGCTAAGATGCTGCATTTTAGTAGTGCGTTTTGGTGGCTCTGGTAGTGTGTGTTGTATCACACACTGCTCGTGCTGTCACTGTTTACTCCTTTTTTTTTTTATCTGTGTGTGAAGTGTACAATGTGTATACTCCATGCAGGGCACCATGCAGGAGCATGGTGGCAGCCAGTGCGCTGCACAAAAATGAGCATGTTTGCATTCTTCTGCAGGGCACTGCCAATCAAACCCTCATTGTGATGGGAATGGGACACATAGAAAACAGTTGTTTTCTATGTGTCCTTGCAGTGACCTGCGTTGATCTGGTGAGGTAAAACACAGGACACCAAGCATGTGTGAACAGGCACTTAAAGTTTTGAAACCATAAGGCCTGCTTTAAGGTGCCCATCAACCTTCCGAATATCGGCCGATTTTTCGTTTGCGATTGCGTCTTCGTCCGATATTCGTAAGGTTGATGGGCAGTGTACAACCACAAATACTGTACATATCGTACGACTTTTGCCTTTCCAGCAGGTTCGAAAACTTCTGTTGAATCGTTTGAAATTCGATAGGTTGGTTGCATTTTCGCACGGAAAAAAATCGGACGATTAACACTGCTCATGTGCAAACGAAAAAAAATGTGCAAAGTCGATTAACCAAATTTGTCCAGGTGATTTCTGCTAAAGACCACTAATTGAACTGTGCGATGGTCGGGGCAGGATGGGGCCGCCGTACAAAAATCGTACAACATTGAACGTAAATTTTCGTCCGATTGCAAGGTGTATGGTCACCTTTTAGAGAAGACACTTCAAGGTGCCTTGTGTTCAGAAGTCCTGTGGCCAGACTATTTATCTTATTAAAAATCTTATAAGATATTGGTGGGTTCATGCCAGCTGCATGCTGAAGCGGTCTGTTGGGTGGCAGCAGTGTGTAGCCATGCCGTGTGTTGTTACCATGGAAGGCACTGTTTACCTTTTTTTTTTTTTTTTTTTTTTTTTTTTTTTTTTTACTTTGTCAGTTTACAAAGTGAACCCTCCATTCAGGATTCCTCAAAGCAGCGCAAAATGCTGCATGTTTTCATACAACACATCATACCAGCATTGGCACAGACCACAATTAAACACTCCTAAAAGCGGAGGGGGCTATGATGTGCAAAAGGAGGAAGGGCGGGGGGTTCTCTGCTACTGTATTGACTCTTCTGGAGTAGTCAAATTTGTCTAGCAAGCTCAAAGTCTCGAGTGAATACAAATTATGGAAAGAAAAAATGCTGCAAGTTAAAATACTTGGTGACAGGGTCTCTTTGAACTAAAGACCTTCACCTAAGTACCCCTACAGTGCAGAGCATATTGTCTCTAGACTTTGAATACAAACCTCACCCACCTGCCCTCCTGTCTTAACAAGAGTGCCATTATGAGCCCCTGAGGAACCATCATTGGATAGACCAAAATCTGCCATCTCCTTCCACCCACACCAGGAATACTTGTAGTTGGAGAACTTTAAATGGCATCTGTAGCCATAGGATTTGGGTGGCAGTGAATTAAAGAAGCAGTTTGTATACTTTCATTGTTATTTTACTTGGAACTTTTCTGTGTAATATCAAATGAAACAAACCTTTCTTATGTTTCTCTTTTGTTTTTATTTTTAGCTCCCGATCCTTCAGAAATATGGAATAACGCATATAATCTGCATAAGGCAAAGCATTGAAGCAAACTTCATCAAACCAAACTTTCAGAATTTATTTAGGTAAGTTGATCACAATTTGTAGATTCAGAAGGGGTTAATTATAACTGTTTCTTGCCCGATGGACTTGTAGGTATAATATGGGACTGTAAGTGAAGTTCCCTATCGTGTCTATAAGTTTAAAGGGAGTCTCTTTGCGGTCCTGTAAAATACAGGCTTGTAACAGTGTCGCAGGTGCATCATGATCTCTTCTTACAGCATATCCTTCTACCCAGGCAAAGGTACACTCTGGAACCATTCAAACCAAGCATATTTCAAGGAAAATTGGCATTGTGCACTGCAAAAATATAGACATGCTTTTTTTGCAGCGCAGGTCAACACAGCACCCCGTCACCCCATCTGCTGTGTGGAGACCGAGATGGAGTGTACACTTTGTGCACTCTAAATAAAGGCCGTGCATAACACATCACTAACTCACACTCTAAAACTGAGCATTTTAGCATGCAGGGAGGTGGGAACAAGTTGTATCAGGAAGAACATGCTAGGTGATGGGGTTATCAAACCTGCTCGTGCATGGGCAGGTAGATTTGATGAAACTGCAAATACCACCATGCCTCTTCCTCGGGGAGTCATGTCTGTGGCTATTAGTCTGGCAATGCCTAATGGGACTCGGTAAACTTTCGATATAGTTGAGTCCCCTCTTAGATTTAATTTTTTTTGGGGGGGTACTTACTTTCATTTACTCTACAGGAGACACAATAGCAAGTAAGAGGAATCCTGCCCTTAGTTGTCACCAGCATAGGTGTCCCCATTGCAAGGTTTGCTCTCTCTGTGTTTATGTGACAGTTATAAAATGTGGAATTTCTCACGATTGATTGGTTTCTTTTCACAGATATTTAGTCCTGGATATTGCAGACAACCCCATTGAAAATATTATACGTTTTTTCGCTATGGTAAGGGTGTGTATGTATGTGTTTTTATATATATATATATATATATGTGTAGATGTTGTTGTACTCATCGCCACACAGTTGAAGTTACCCCGCCTGCTATTTAATCTCTAATAGAGGGTGGTGTTACCAGAGATTTCAAGGTTGCACAATAGCAGTGACAGCTTGACAATGTCTGCTTTTGATATATTGTTTTTTTCTTTTGCCAGTCAAAGGAATTTATTGACGAATGTTTACAGAGTGGAGGTAAGTAATCTTTCATGCCTCTTCTCTTTTTTTGT